GGGCGCGGTGGAGGATGAGGAGATTTGATTAGACATCGAAGGTAAGCCGATACTGAGGGCGAGCGATTCTGGCTACACCGACCTGACAGGGTTCTTGGACAGACGGGCTCTTGAGGACAAGGCCCAAGGACGGGGCCTGATGGAAAAAGTGGCTCAGAGGAGCCTGTAGAGTCTGGTCAAGGAGAGAGTCTGTCAGAAGGCTACTCATGACCAGTCAGCATGGCTCGCTCGCTCTCTCCTCTCAGTGCTCCGTGGTCTGTCTCACCAGAACCCATGCATACAATTGCTTCTATTCCCAAGTGTAGCATACTAACCTGCCGCAGAGAATGATATACCTAGGGAAGTTCTCCCCAAAAGTAATGGGAGAAAACACCAAACGGTTTGATACCATTTTCGGTAGCTGCGCCGTGGGCCACGTGGTCGGTGCCGGTGCGGGTCAGCAGACGCGCACGGTCGCGGCTCCGGCCCGGCGCTGGGGCCCGAGGGCGAGGAGGCAGAGCTCTGGAGCGAGGCGGCCCCTCTCCACGTGCTGCTGTGCACCCGCGGGGAGAGGTGTCGAGTAGGGACGACGGAAAAGCTAGCTGCAGAACAGTGTGTTAAACACACACACACGCGGAGGATATTTCTGGCAGGTTACCCCAAAACCTGGTAGTGGAGGGAGTAGGAAGTTAGAGACCAGGGATGGGAAGGAAGGTGTACTGTTTAATTTTTAAAAACCTTGTGTGTGGCAGTTGTTTTTCAATATGAGAAATGATAAAAAGAAAAGAGAAGAGAAATGGTCTCTCGCCGGGCCGTGGCACGGGTTTGTGAAGGGCCGCAATGCGACTGTGGGCGGGAGGCTGGGGGCTCGCCCTCGGAGGGGCTGGCGCCTCCTTTTCTCTTGGTGGTTCTTTATTGAACTTCACGGGGAGGATTTCAAGGCATTTTAACCACCTAGTTTTACTGAATGAAATAAAAACATCAAAGTAGACATTTATATTGGGAGTAATTTAATATTTATGTGCTGTTTACTCTGTAGCCTGGATTTCAAGTAATTGCAGCATCTCTATGTTGATGGTGCTTTAGAAATATGACAGTTAGCTCTAAAAGTGGTTGTTGCCGTGGACACTATACTGTAATTCCTTGGAAATAGCTTCTCTGAATTTCTAGTTAATTCAAGGTTTCTGGTTTATTTAATATGTACAATGATCACTTCATAAATTTCTTAGACTATCATGAAATGCAAGCTATTTTTTTTAAGTTTAAAAATATAATATTAGGCTGGTTTTCTAATATCTTTTTTAAAAAGGCAAATATTTTAGGGAAAATATATTTTAAATGTAATTTTATAATTAATATCATTTTAAATAAAATTCCCCCAAATAATCTCTGTAGAAGTTGCTGGGAGAAGACTGTATGATTCCTAGTACATGCTCCATAAATTTCGGTGTTATTTTGTGATAGTGATGGATACGAATCTTTATCTCAACCTCCACCTAAATCCACCCCGAAGAAAATAACTGTTGCTGCCACCAAAACATATAAACTTTAAGCAGAAATGGTAAGTTGATATCCAGGTAATGAAGGCAAAATATGATGCATTTGGAGCCCATCTTTCTCTTCTTTGTATACATGATTTGGTCCGGTGTAGAATGGATCAAAAAAACATTTTGTGTGTGAAATCCTCATTCTACAAAATATGATGACATGTAAGTGACACAGAATGATACATGGCAAAAACACAGTGGTCGAAAGGGTCGTTCTGTGCAATATAAACTCTAGAACAGTCAGGAATCAAACAATAAGCACAAAGATCTCCCTGAGGCCAAAGTATATGTTCTTTTTCAAACGGGATGAGGCCGACAAAACGTCTATTTATGTTTCACCTTCACTTCTAGTTGGAGCATTTATCTAGTTTCCCAGGAGTGGAGAGAGAAGGTGAGTTGTTGGAGACAGTGAGGCTCTACAGGAGCAAGGAATGGTGGTTGACTGCCTGGCAGGGGCGTTAAGACAGCCACACGGCCTGCGTGGACATGGGCTCCCTTGGTTTTCGTGTTACAGCCCCATGAAGGAGCTGATTCAACCAGGCAAGGTTAAATTATGTTTTATGTACCTGTTTTAAAAGGCAGCTAATTGCAATTCATTTTAGAAAGATTTTTATTCCATAAAAGTATTTAGATGGAAAGTGATATTTCAAGTAGCCTCGAAACAATTGGGACTGAATAGCCCCTTGTTCATCAAGGAGGCTTTATTATACTTGAATCAGAAAAGTTGGTTTATAAAGAATCCAAAATAATAATAGCCATAGGTGTCGTTTTTTTGACAGACGCCGCCTCTGCTTGATTTTTAGTTTAGAGGCTTTATGTGTTTTCCTGTTTCTTCTTCAAAACAGCCGTGTAGGGCAGGTGTTATTATCCCCATCTCACAGATGAAGAGACTGAGGATCAGAGAGTTCCCAAAATAATTTAGCTGACAAGTGGCAGAGTTGGCGTTCAAACTCACATGTCTTTGGATCCAATGTAGGAAAATACACACTTTTGCCCTTCTATCAACCTGGCTTGAAAATCAGCAAAATTTCAGATGTTTCCTCCTGGTTAGTGTACCTTTCTCTCTCTCCTTTCTCTTCCCCTTTGTTATCCCTTCTACTCTTTTCCTTTTCCCTCTCCTTCCTTGTTATGTGTTAACTTGTATATGAGAATCTTCCAGTCCAGGCTGCCTGGATCACAGTGTGGTTTTGAAGCATTGCTCTTGCATGAACCTTTGATGTGGAGGTGCTGAGGCAGTGAACAACGAGGTCCCCGCCCCCCGAATGTCAATGCACCACGCTTTGATCCTGGGAGACAGTGGGAGGCTCCCTTCTGTGCTTAAAGAAAGCCTTTGGATGCATGCGGCTGTCTCAGCAACAGAAGGACTCAGCAAAAACACACCTCTGTCCCAGCGCAGAATCACATCACCCATGTACAAAGTAGCAAAAAAAATAGCAGTGACCTCCTCACAAAGACCTAGTACATGTCCCGAGAAATTCTTTTGAATATCTATCCTTACTGTTTTCCTGATTACCAGAGTAATAGATGCTTTTTGCAAGAAAATCAAATTATTACAGAATTATAAAACTTGAAAACATCTCATAATTCCACTACTCCTTCCCCAGAAGATAATCCCTGTTAACAATTTTAAAGAAATTCTAATTTGTGAATGAGTTCTTAAAATGTTTTTTTCCCCTTGTCCTATCTGTGCCTTTGGTTTAGAACACTGGCTGGAGCACGCAGGATTAAGAAGGTTGTTGACCTTCCTCCCCTACTCTTTGTTGTGTTTGTTCAAGATATGCCTTTGAAAGACGGGCAGGGTAGCTGGAAAGAGGAAGGAAGCTATTGCTCTTCCAAAATGTGAATGAGTTCATTAGTAAAACTTCTAGATTGAAGTGTTATTACTGATACCCTTTTTGAGTACGCCCAACACTATCCTTTGTGTCAGTTTTGATTTAATTTTTGGCCAGTAAGTACTGCTTAGTTGACTTTGTATATAAATATGGATGAAGAAGTTAAAATATATAAATTTTATAGAAAAATGGAAATTTTGAACCCACTGGGATTTGCCTTCTGGCCACTGTGGTTTACAGATGAGGAAACTGGGGCTCTAAGAGGTTCCCAGAGCCCTTCCTCCCTCTGCCGCCTCTCGCCGCGTCTGTGGGCTGCTCTCTCCCCGCATAGATGCTCTGCTTGCAGCTCTTAAGCTGCTGGCTGCTTTTTTTTTTCTGTCTTCATGACCAGTGGTCTACGGAAGCCATCATGAAGTACAGATAACCAGTGTTAACATTTGATGTGTCATCTTTCAGGCATCTCCCTCTGTATATGTCAGATAGACTACCTGAAAGTCCCTATAGTGTGGTGGTCTGAAGTCTGACTCTGAAATTAAACTGTGGAGGTTCAAATCCTGGTTCTAACATCAGCTGTGTCACTTTGGTTAGGGTACATACCTTCTGGGAAGCTCTGTATTCCCATCCATGAAATGGGAATGATGATAGTGCTTCCCTCACTGGGAAGGAGTATGAATTAATGAGCTAATGTGTTTAAAGTTCCTGCGTAACTTTAAACACCCAATAAATGTTAGTACTTATTTTTTTATAATAATTATTATTATTTATTTTATTATTTTTTATTATTATTTATTTTATTATTATTATTATTTTTGTAAGAAATGGGATCATACTTCCAATTCTGTATTGTGAAATTTTTAAACTATCATGAACACATAGCTACATCGTTCTTATGGTTGCATTATGATTACATTTTTGTGTATGCTGTGATTTACTTAGTGCTTGAACTTGTGGAAATGATCATCTGTGGGTCAAAGAGCCATCTGTTTCTCCCATCCTTGGAAAACAGTACTGTGTTCTGCTGTCCAAATCTTGAGAAGCTTGAAACCTGTGGTACCACACAGTTTTATCCAAACAAGAATTTAGTGTTCTTTTAAGAACTATGTAAGAATCTTCCTACTATCAGACAATAATAAACAGCTAAACATTTCAAGGTGCTCTCTACTGGGTAGATTTCTAGGCTTGGAAGCTTATGAAATTTCTTATGTAGTTATCCTCATTTTCTAAAATCTCACCATTGATATCAAAGTACTTATTTTCTGCCTTGATAAGTGAGTAAGTGTCTGACTGTTTTCCTGATGTTCGTTTCTGAGCATTCACATGACTGGCTTTATTAGAAAAGAAGACAGTGCCATAATTCCGCCATAAGCTGGCAGTAATGCAGCCGTGGGGGTCCTGGAGAACCTTTATTATTCAAATGATGGTGGCTTCTTGAATAAAGTGGATGACTAAGTATACTTACCGTGGTAAGAGAGATTATTAGCAGTGGGAGACACGTTTGACCTTGCTGAAAGAGCTGCCTTGGTTTCTAGGAAGGCCAGCACCGGGTCACTATGAAACCAGCTCTTCGCTTTGTTCTAGCCGCCTTCCCTTTTTCATGCTCGCAATGTCTGAATGGCTTTCTATTGCCTGTTAATCCCCGCAGGAATGTGGCTTTGGCTACGGGGAGGATGCCCAGTGTGTGACGTGCAGGCCGCACAGGTTCAAGGAGGACTGGGGCTTTCAGAAATGCAAGCCGTGCCTGGACTGCGCGGTGGTGAACCGCTTCCAGAAGGCAAACTGTTCTGTCACCAGCGATGCCGTCTGTGGGGACTGCTTGCCAGGGTATGTTGGACGATCTCTTTCCCTCGTAATTATTTAATTATTTTTAAACAGGCGTTTCTCTTGTTCCTTTCCAAACGCGAACGCACACTGATATTAACCTGAACACGTTTGTCGACTCTTCATGACTTTTGTCTCAATGTTCACTACTAGATTCTCTGTGCCAACTATGTGCCATGCCCTGTGACAGGTGCTGATTGTAAATGAAATGAAGAAGCATACTAACAAAGGATTAGTGTCGCAAAAATCTAAAGAGTTCCTTCACATCAGTAAAAAAGAAAACATGGACAAATGGACAAAAGAATAAACAGGCAGTTCACAAAAGAGAGCACAGAAATGGCCTGTGATCATATGAAGCTGTTCATCCTCATTAGCGATCAGAGAAATACAAATCACAACCGTTCAGTCATTTCAGCAGATATTTGTTGAGCAACTATAAGGCATCTCTTAGGGGAAAAGGCAAAGATCCTACCCATGTGGCGCCTATATCCGAATAAGATTTTTAGAAACATCTACACAGTAAATAATAAAGAAGTAAATTATGCAGAGAAGTAGAAGGTGATGATTGCTATGGAAAGAAGACCATCTAGCAGCTAAGGGGGATTGGGCGTGCCCCCAGGATCAGTAGGTGAGTTGCAGTGTTAAAGTGGGTAATCACGGTCGGCATTCTTAGACAGAGGAGATCTGAGCGAAGCCTTGAAGGATCTGAGACAGTCAGCCAAGTAAGTATGTGGGAAAAGAGCACTGTAGACACAAGGAACCGCTAGAAACAGGCCCTAAGGTGGGCATGCACCTGGTATTTTTAAGAAACTGCAGCGAGGCTAGAGTAGCTGCAGGAGAAGGGGAGACTAGAGAGAGAGAGAGGTGGTGAGAGGGGTGGAAACAGGGCAGGTGTGCGTGGTGAAAACCTGAAATGTGCACGCTGAAAATTAACCCCGGCCATGGAAAGAAAGGGGAGCACACCTGGGCCAGGCAGAGAGACCAAGCCCAGGAGGAGGAATTTTAAAGTTTTCAGTGCTTCTAGGTAACCGTTGGACAGATTCGCCAGATGAAGCAGGCAGTTAAGGGGCTGTATGAAGAGTGGACTCAGGGAGGCCAGTGTGGTGATCTGTTTGGGAGTGCAGAGGCATTATGACAGGAGGTAAGAGGAAGAGACAGAGCAGATGTCAGGACAATTTAATGAGTACAGAGTGGAGACAGTGTTACCAACCAGAGTCAGAAGACAGAACCCGGGATTCCTAGAGCTAGGAAACCAGGCTTTATTGCAGAAGTACAACAACCAGAAACAACAGCATTACAGGAGCAGCCAACATTTATTATTTATAATGTGCCAGGCACTTGGCTGAGCACTTTCCATGAATTATTTTCTGCATTGTGCACAGTGCTTTAAAAATGAAGAAAGTGAACCTTATTAAGGCTTAAAGTTCTTCAGGCAAGATCACTTAGCTAGTCTGAGATGAAGCTTGGAGCCACGTCTAGGAGTCTAACGCCAGAATCCATGCTCTAAGACACTGCAAGAAGGACTCTAACTGGACGCGCCAGAACATGCCCACAAGATCAGGGTGGTTTTGACCAAATGGCACAGTGCTAGTTCTGGGGCTTTTATTGAGGCCAGAGGGGGAGATAAAGCTCTGGGCCTGGAGGGCAGAAACAGGGTAGGAAATAGCCTTATGGATCAAGTATGTCCTTATGCAACAACTCAGCACCTAAAGAGGTATAAAAAGTAGTGGTCTAACACCACAAGCAACCAAAGAAAAAATAGTTATATTGGACTTCATCAAAATTAAAATCTTCTGTGCTTCAAAGGATGCCATCAAGAAAATGAAATGACAACTCACAGAATTAGAGAAACTATTTGTAAATCATATATGTGATAAGGGACTATCTTATCTAGAGTATATAAAGAACTCTTACAACTCAGCAATAAAAAGACAACCCAATTAAAATGTGGGCAAAGGATTTGAGTAGACGTTTCTCCAAAGAAGATATACAAACTGCCAAGATGCGCATGAAAAGGTGGTCGTCATTAGCCACCAAGGAAGTGAAAATTAGAACCACATACTTCACGCCTACTAGGATGGCTATAACCAAAAAGACAGACAATAACAAGTGTTGGTGAGGATGTAGAGAAATTGGAACCCTCGTGCACTGTTGGTGGGAATGTAAAACGGTGTAGCCACTTTGGAAAACGGTTACTCAAAAAGTTAAACATAGAGTTACCATGCGACCCAGCAATTCTGCTCTTAGGTATATAACCAAGGGAATTGAAAACACGTTCACACAAAAACTTGTACATAAATGTTCATAGCAGCATTATTCATAATAGTCAAAAAGCAGAAACAACCCAAATGTCCATCAACTGGTGAATGGGTAAACAAAATGAAGTATATGCAAACAATGGAATATTATTTAGCAATGAAAAAGAATGAATTACTAAGACATGCTACAAAATGGATGAACCTAGAAAACATGCTAAGTGAAAAAAGCCAATTATAAAAGACCACATATTGTATGATTCCATTTGTATGAAATGTCCAAAATAGGCAAATCTATACAGAAAGTAAATTAGTGGCTGTCTAGGGCTGGTGGTTGGGGAGGGTTGGGAAGAAAGGGGGTGACTGCCGAAGGGTACGGTGTTTCTTTTTTGCTGTGATGAAAATGTTCCAAAATTGATTGTGCTGATGGTTACACAACTCTGTGAATATACTAAAGATCATTTAATTGTATACTTTAAATGGGTAGATCGTATGGTATGTTAATTATATCTCAATAAATCTGTTATTTAAAAAAAAAATGGACTATAATCTCAGACCGATGCTGGTACCTGTGAATATCATTACTCAGAGTTTTGACCTTGTGCAAATCTGTTCGAGGAACTGAACTGAATGTCTGACACATCTCTATTATTGTTCCTGTTCTGCAATTCTGATAAAAGTATGTCTGCTCTCTTCATCTGGGGGCCAGGGAGAAGACGAGGTACACAGGAGATGCAGGGGCTGAGATGCTGTCCAGAGAGAGTGGGGAAAAGTGCAGGACCCAGGAACTTGGTTTTTATACAGAGGGAACCTGGGGGCTGTGCTACTGGAGTGTGAAAGAGGGTACGGTCTTCCCAGGAGCTCCACCAAACGTGCTTCCTCATGCTTACCCCTCATTTGTTGTCATCTGAGCCCACTGATTTAGTTTCTACCATGTTTGCTCCTTCTTTAAATAAATGCCTAGATGCAGGAAGGTTAGAAATGAATAGATGTTTGAATGATGTTTCATAGTTTATTTATATGATTAGTTTAAAATTACATCCTTTCTAAACCAGCATGCACATAAGAGGCAGGCAGTAATTGTATAGTGACTTTTACCCAGGTCTTCCAGAATGTTTTAAAGGTGCTCCTCCAGCTTGACCATATTTGTGTGAAGAAGGCAAATAGTTGAAACTCATTTTACAGACAGGAAAATTGAGGCAGAAAGAAAATAGGCAAATTGTGTATTGCTTCCAGAAAAATGATGCCAAAATCAGACATAAGATGGGCGTTTGTATTTGGTGCCACTCCTGCCTTCTATAGCCTCAACGTCACTTGAGTAAGGATCTTCTGCTGCCCGTGTACTCAGCCCCGCAGAACACCAGCTGCCTTTTTTTCCCAGTGGCGGGTACAGTGTGGAGATAGTCTGTCCTCTGCGCCCACAATTTGAGTGATTAGAGGGAGCCACTCACTGCCCTTGTTCCCAATATGTTCAGTGACCTTAGTCCAATAACTTAATTTCTGTGACACCCATTCTTCTCACCTATAAAAATATCATCTAATAATAGATGCAACCTGCAGAATCCAACCTGCAGAACTGCTGGAAGGATTAAGAATATATTGCATGTAGAGTGTCTAGCAGAGTGCCCAGTCCACAGTAAGCACTAAATAAATATGTGCCACTGTTGCCAATTCATGTTACTGGGGGCCAGTGAAAGCTTTGCTTTTCAGAGTGTGGCCAAGGGGCCTCCAGCCTCCTCTTCCGGCTCCCATGACCGTGTCCTGTCTGCTCAGGGGCCCTGGGCCCAGCCCTGAAAGAACAGTCTGGCCCCTGCCGGGTCTTTGCTGCTTCAAGTCCCTGTGAGAGCTGACAGTTACTGAGCACTGGCCGTGTGCTGAGCTCTCTGTGCAGACTAGTTGATTTGATCATCAGAACCACTCTATAAAGTTGGGATTAATGTCATCCCCTCTTTATAAGGAGGAAATTGATCCTTGGAGTGGATAAATGACTTGCCCAAGGTCACCCAGCTGGTAGGTCTGCTGCTGAGCCCCCATACTTAACTACACAGCTAATTTCACAGGGAGGCCTCACCGGGAGCTTCGTGATTGATTATAAGAACCACCTCTGCCCATTCTTTGCCCCACTCCACCCTCCCACCGTGTCAGCCCCCTTGCATATGAAAGGTGCTTGAATTGCCTTGGTCTCTTTTCTCGTCTTTGAGCTCAGTTCCCCTTGCCTAGTCCAAGAGTGCACTCTCGTAACCACCACAACGTTTATGAGATCTGGACTCATACTCTAAGGATTCATCTTCTCATTAGCATTTGTTCAGTTTCAGTAAGGGGCTGTTGCTGTGGACTGATAAGAAACGTGAACGGTGGGCTGACCAAGCAACATGAATCAGGGTGCGAACAAGAGTAGAGGAGAGAACGGAGTTGTCGATGGTCTCCAGAATATGCACTGCAGAAAATTTGACCACAACTTGATTGCCATACACAGGACATAGTAACTGCACTCAAACCTGTATTAAGTGAGATCATTATAAAACCAGAGCTGGACTATAGTATGTCATCTCCTCACAGAAATGGGTTCATTGATTGAAGAGTTAATGGTCTACAACCACATTTTCTTAAAATAGCAGTTTTCAAACACGGTGTTCATTAGGCTAACTAGTGTTATTTGGATTCAGTTCAATTAAAAATTCCTCTTCAAATTTAGTGTTGGGAAAAATTTGGGGTCTATAAGATGTGTTTATATGCCGCTTCTCATCA